GGAGGGAGAGAGGAGAGGAAAGGAAGGGAAGTGGAGGGGAGGGAAGGGAAGGGGAGGGAAGAGAAGGGAAGGGGAAAGAAAGAAACAAAAAGATGTTTCATTTTCCCTTATCTTATTCTTCTCTGAAAATCTATATAAGGAAGACAGCATGTAGTTAGAACCCTTTATCATGACCCTTTCTTGAGATTTATAGAACAGATACATGCAGGAGGGAGAATTGGTTCACAGTGAAGTTTATGACCAACATCCACCAGTCTACACAGGTTCTTGAAAGAAACTTTCTGGTTCTTTTCTATATAAACTTCTTGTGAGTGTGCAAGAAAGGAGGTTCTCTCTCCTGGGACTCTGAGCACAACCAGGCGTGGCCCAAATAACAAAAGCTAAAAATAATTTTTAAACAAAGAAGTTTCTCTAGTTAGTTACCTTGTCCCTTGATTGATTGAGGGGCAGTAGAGTTGGACCTGCTCTGTTACGGTTATAAAAGGTGGCTCCAAGACAATCTCTGAGTATATGTTCTACTTAGATATTCATCACTCGCATTTATAGTAAGTGTAGTGCTGAGGATACATGAGTGAACAGAAATGATGCCCAGCTCTGAATAGGTTTAGTCGTGGTAAAAGGGCAGGGACCAATGTGAACAACAGAGATTAGATCATAGATCGAAGAGAGCCTTACTGGTGGTGTACATGGGGTGTGCCAGAGCCTAACTAAGGTCTCTCAGAGTTTGAAATGCTTTTTAGAGGAGGCATTCTTGTTCTGACTCTTGTTTTTCCTTATATTTATTTATTGAATCACTGTGGGAAAAGTTACAGAGCTTTCAAGATTAAGTCTTGGTCATACAAAGATCAAACACCTTTACCTTCACCAGTACTTATTTTTCACCACCAAGAACCCCAATATAGCTCCCTCCCCCTCTCCCAATGCCTGTGAGACAGATGATTTCTACTTAACTCTCTCTCTACTTTGATTACATTCATTATTTCAACAAAAGATGCACCATTATTGTTTAGAATTTCCCCCCAACAATCAGAACTGCTGAAAAGGAATTGTGAAATAATTTGTTTTCCATAGCTGGTTATGAGAATCATATGATTTCTGATCTTGATATCAGAAATTCATGTATAGTTGGATTTCTGATATTTTACTAGGTAAGTCTGGAGGGATTTCTGCAGAGAGCCAGATAATTACGAGATTGGTTTCTGTGCGTCTGGAGCCATGGCTGTGCCAGAGAGCCGCTCATGGGGGGCAAATTGTGACCTCGGTAGGGCATGAAGGACGAGCTGGTACTACCCCCCTTCCCATGAGACTGCAGTTGCCCCGTCACCGCCGGCTCATACCTGGCTTTCCAATAAGCTCTGAGGCGGCGGCCACCTTGCTGCTGTGGGGGAAAAAGGCGGAAGGGAGCAATACCCTTTCTCTCCTGGGGAGTAGTTTAATGCATAGTCCATTCACTTTTCTGCTGAAAGCTGCCAGGCTCTGGATTAAGTCTTGTGCTGACTCTTAAAGGCAAGTAGGAGTTAACTTCAGGGATTTGATTATGTTACTAGCACAAAGACTCATAATTGCAAAGGGAGAAAGAAGTGCTAAATGATTTCATAAGTCATCTTAAGTTGTCTCCAGGTGTTATTTTGAGAATTTTAAAGTAATTTACTTGAAAATATTTAATCATAGAGGTGTGAAATTATATACACGCACTGGTTTTAATCTCAGTCCTAGGAGAGGCTAGCTTATATGTGAAGTATACTCTCAGGAATTCAGCCTTCAGGGGGTGATTGGTTGATGTTGAAAAGAACTACAGAAATTTATGTCTTGGGAATGTTGTTAGATTTTTTTTTCCATTGGTGGAATTGGCCCTTTTTCCAAGATAATTTGGATTGACTCAAACTGTGTATACTACTGGTGGTTTGCCTTTGGAGAGAACTGAGAATCTAGTGAGCCCAGCAGGAAAGTGTACCTGGAGTTGGGCTCTGTGCCAGGGTTTGATTTAGAGTTTGGGTCGTGGAAGCCTCTAGCAATCTGGTGAGGTCTGTGCATTCATTTGCAGAACAATGCGTTAAGATACATAAAGCCAGATAAAAACTATACACAGTGTTGTAGAATAAGCCCTGTTTATTGAAATATTCTTATCAAAATAGTTTTGTTAAAAAACAAAGTCATCCTGCTTCCGACCTAAGTAATGGTCATGGTTACTTTCAAGAGCCCTTTGCTATGTGGCGGCCACACCCCAGTGCCCACCCACTGCTCTGCTGTGTCCCCCTGAGTCCTTGTTGGAGCAGATTTCTTAGGACAGCAGTCCCTTCCACGAGTAAGTGAGACTGTGACCTCCAGAGGTTTAGGGCAAGTAAGGGTAAGACAGGGACTGACATCAGAATTTTTTGCTCCATCCATCATCTTGAGCTCATCCCTTTCAATTTGGAATTGTTTTCTCATTGGCATCTTGTAGATTGCATATTGAGACGATTGCTTTAATTTTTATCTGGATGTTTCCAATTACATTCAAAGTAAATCATTCTAAATATCTCAAAATTTAAAAAATAAATTCAAGTCATTGTGTGGATCTACAGGCCTTTAAATGTAACTTTGAGCAGTTATTTATTTTGAAGAGCAACAGAACAAATGAAATACACCTCCTACCCTAATCCAAAAAAAATCCTGATTCTTCTACACATCCAAGAGACTAAAGATTAGATCTTAGAGATACAACAGTATTTAGTCAAAGAAAAATGTTTCAAACAGATGAGAATATCTGTTGTGGGTTGTGGGTGGGAAACTAGTGACATTGGTGGAGGGAAGGGTACACTGGTGGTGGGGTTGGTGTTGGAATATTTAATGCCCATAACAATTGTACTATGAACATCTTGGTAAATCACAAGGTTATCCTGGGAGGATCCTCCCAACACCCTTTATTTGGTGCTCCCTTCTCTCTCTGAGCTGCCTTTTCTCCTAGCATGTGTGGCTGGCCTCCAAGCCATGGAGCAAAATTCCTGGTACTAATCTCGGCCATTCTTGGGTGTTAGTCTCTTGTTTTGTTTCTCAGCATTTTTGAGCAGTTGAACAGGAACGCTTAAAGGTGGCTGAGGTTGGACTTATTTCTTTCCCATATCAATTAGGTTTTGGTCAAATGCTAATGTTTTAACTCAGGTAAGATAGTACTCCTTGAGTCCAAACCTTGGTAAAGTAGCAGTGAACATTCTGAGCATGTTTCACAATGGGAAATCTTTCCTTTCCTCTGCCAGAAGCAAGAGGGAATTTTTCTTTTACATTTATCCTGAGCTTATGGTGTATTTCTAGTAGATAAAACTCTGTGAACTCCTAAAGTTGAACGGCAGAGAGTTTTTACTCTAAGGTCTGTCTGTAATAATTAGTAACTCACCTTTTTGGGGGGTAGGGGGTGGGAGTGGGAGACTGTTTCTAAACCAACTGGTTGCTCTTGAGCCTGTTTTTGCTCCTGGCAAGCTGTGGTTCTCTGTATTCTTTTGTCTTTTCAGTTTAGGAAACATTGATTTGCTTGGTAACTTCAGTTTTCTGATTTGTCTAAAAAGAAAAAAAAAGCACATTTCCCTCTTTTTAACTTTATTTTTTCTGTTGTGAGAATGGTTGTGATAATGTTCAAGCTTCTCCAGAAATTTTTCAATAGCCATTGTACCCATAAATCTTTAATTTTTCTGCAAAACTCATGATGTTATAGGTACCTTGAAATTTTATTTCTGTTGTAAATGGACTATTTTCTTGTTACTTGATTATTGAGCTTAAATAAGAATACCCAAAGTTTTTTTTTTAAATAAATCTTCTTTTGACAATCTTACACTTTAGTCATGCTTTTTCAAAATTTTTGAATTGGACATTCAGGTCATTTATTTCAGTCCCATTCCTCTCTTAACACATTCTCAAAGACTCTTAATATAGATAGGTAGGTGTTTGTTATGTTGGTAGATATTGATAATGGAATATACTTCTTTCCTTTGTATGGGTTTTGCTTTTGATGTAATTGGGAGTTTAGAGTACTTGAAATACTTTAATGGAGCATGATGTTTTTATATGGAGTAATATATCATTTAGTGGAAGAAGGTAAACACAACACTCTGATTCTTTGGTTTCTTATGCAAATATGCAAATAAAATCTCACATATGAATTTAGTACACAAAGTGGTAATAGAACAAATTTAACATTGGTGGGCCACTACCTATGTCTAGGAATCTTAGCTGATATAGGTCACCATTTTATTGGTTTGGACAAGAAGATGATGTCTTTGTGCTTTGGCAGTTTCTCCTGCCTTCTAACAAAGTAGAGAGAACAGATAGGTAATTTAGGATCAGGGATAGATTTAGTTGTGAGCAGCATGTATTTTGTTTTTCAGTTGCTGAAATAGTTTGAGAAATGATAAGTAGGACTGAATATTTAATGATAGAAGTTATTTGTCATTTATTAATCATCATTTGATGGGGGACCTTTTTATTTTGGAATATGTTTCAGATCATATTTGATTGTGTTCTTTCTGATAGAACTAGGGAGATATTTTGTATTGAGTCTTCACATCTTTTGAATCACTCCTAAAAATAACCAAAAGTGATTTGTGATAGCTCTTTGATGTTTTTGATAAAAAATGAAAAGCCTGTATCTCATTCCCCCCTATCCAATATTTTGACTGTTCTTTGACTTAAACTTGAAAAATGTTTACCAGCCTCCACTTCAATATATAAATATATTTACATATGCATAATGGTTTAATGTCAACCCATGAAAACCAGATTTTGCATTATATACTAGAGTTCCTTTTACAAACACTAAAGGTTTTGCTAAATTACTGTTTTGAAGATCATAATGTCATTTTGACCTAATTGAGCTTGGTGGTTTTATTAAATGCAAGATAAATTTGGCTGCTGATTTATTTTCCTCCTTTGATATGTGATTCTGTCAGTGGAGAAAGTTTTGGGAGTGGTTGATGTCAGTCTTATATTTATAAAGATTTGAACCAAGTCTTTCACATCTTTTCTCTTAGGTTGTTGATTATATCCTGCCACCCTTGGTCTCTTTGGTTCAAAGCCAAAATGGTAAGTGTGACCACATCAACGAGAATTCCATCAGTTACACATTCTGTTTTCATTCTCTCTCCATGTAGTCATATTCTTGGCATATTTTTTCTTCTTCTTTCAAGTGGAATGGAGACTCTTCAGCTTGCGGTTGCTCTCAGAAACCACGTCTTTACTTGTGAACCAGGAGGTTGAGAATGACAAGCAGGAGACGAATGTCGATTCTGACAACAGTCTTCTGGCTCTCATTAGAGACGTCTTACTTCCCCAGTAAGTATTTTGTGCTTTGCTTACACAGAGAACTATAGGATATTCAAAAAAAAAAAAAAAAACAAACAAACGAGAAACAATGATGGAGATAGGACTCTTTCTATCTTCCTATTTATGTAAAATATATTTTGTACATAACCATAAAAGAAAGGCAATGATTCCTACACTGCATAGGATCCTGAAAAATCTCAGTCCCTCTTCAAAAACATCCATGTAGAGCTTCGTTTGTTTTCTGTAATGCAAATGACTCTGAGAATATGCAGAATGAAGGGACTTGTGGCTTGGAATAAGGCACATTATTTGAGGTCCACATTATAAGACAACTGGAACATGAAATGGACTTTCCCCAGCCCTATACAACAATTAATTGAGACTGAAAGGAACCTCCCTTGCTCCTAAGCTTATGGTATAAAAATTAAGTTTAGTTGCAAACAAGAGGGGTTTTTTTTCCCCCTTCGTGGAATAGTGGTGGTGGAACGGGTTACCAATGTTTATTAACATAAAGGGATTATCTTTTTTACTTTTTCTCCATTTGACTGCTGAGAGCTTCCAGTGAAAACATGTGAAACTCTAAAATGACCCCCCCCCCCCCAGTTCACTCCACAAAGTGATTGTGAATTATATCAGATGGAAATAATTAAAATGAAGAAGTGTATTTCCTAGACCACTACTGTAAGCAGTGTATGAAGCCAAGCAATTACTGGATTGTGTGTCATGGGCCAAGTGCATGCCTAATTCTAGTTATTTCCAGGGCTTGGGCTACTGTCTGAATCAGTAACATTTTATTTATTTATTTTTATTTTATTGAATCATTGTGAGATATAGTTACAAGATTTCATGTTTGAGTTACAATCACACAATGATCAAACACCCATCCCTCCACCAGTGCACGTTCCCCACCACCAATCTCCCTAGTATACCCCTCTTTCCCACTCTCCAACTGCCTCCATGGCAGACAATTTCCCCCCATACGCTCTCTCTTCTTTTGGGCATAATGATTTGAAATACAGATACTAGAGGCTATCATGTTTGGTCCTTTATCTACTATCAGAATACATCTTTCATCCCGAACTATCCTTCCAACCATCATTTTCTTAGTGATCCCTTCTCTAATCCAGTTCAGCAACATTTTCAAGAAGGGTCATTTCATCAAATGCTCCTGTAGAGTTGCTCATCTTCTCAAGATCTCTCATTTCCATTTAAAAGAAAAGTCACCACAGTCTGCCAACCAGGTCTAATTAGGTTCTGAAGCATTCCTTCATCCTAGTGGGTTCGAAGGTAAATTTTGTGTAGTGGTAGCCAGTGTGTGCCAACCCAGCTCCCCACAGAGAGAGGGAATCTACTTCTTTGATTGGAGCATGATCCATGGGGCTTGCTTGATAGGTTCTGTTTCTTTTTAAATTTTCTTCTGGGGTTTTTACAGTTGTTTTCCAGGAGACTGCTGATAATATTCCTATTTTATATTAAAATAATAGAATGTTTAGAAAAATCTTTAAAATTTTGTTATGTGAAGCAGTCTTAGTGATAAACTATCAGTGTAATATTTTGGTTGCATTTGTTCTGGTTGTGTGTGTGGCATGTGTAGGCAAACAGATAAAAATCTTCACTTATGGAATTGATGATTCAATGCTGCCTTGAGATACCCCCCTAAAAGTAGATAAATGCATGAAATATAGTTTACCTCTATATGTAAATAAATGCATAAAATACAGGCTTTGTGCCAAATTTGATATTTAAAAAGGTATACTTAGAATATTTTCTGCCTAACAACTTATGGAGAAGAAATTTTTAGCACCTGAGATGTACTCCTAACAATAGAAGAAATGATTTTTTTAAAGCAGAATTTCATAGCTCACTGATAGCTTGTTAAGTGCTCTGGAATTGGATTGGTAATAAATTTCTTCATATCAATTCTGCTCAATTTTGGAACAGTTGGTAAAATAAAAAGTATCAAATCTATATTTTCATTCTCTTTTTACAGTCACTTGAACAGGAATCAATAGCCAGTATTTTCTTTGTGCCTTTACCTTTTCCAGAGCTAAGAAATTAAAGGGAAAAATGTAAATCTATACCACATGGTAAATAAAGATCAAAAGTAATGTACATGCATTCAGGTTTTTAATAAAACAAACTTGAAATGCTCTTTGGATGATGGAATGGAATTCATTGGAATGCGATGTGGATGTGGACTGATTGTGATGAGAAGTGCAGGACTTGGCTCTGTATTTCACTCTCAAACTTTTTTCATCTATAAAATGGGGATAGGAATGTCTGTCACAAGAGACTCATGAGGACTAAATGATAGAACCGAACAATGTGTGTGGGACATGGTACATGTTTGACAAGTGTTTAATACTACAGTTACTATTAGGTATTTTATAATCTCTTTTACTAACCTTAAAATGAAGATTTTAATGTACAATAATATGAGTGTATAGATTTTGGAAAAAGCATAATGACCATGAAAATAGATAATTCTGACTGTACCCTTTTATATGTAAAGTGTTTAATAAATTTTATGTTTAATTTTTTAAATGAAATTAAGTAGTGCATTTATTTAATTTTGATTCAAGGATTTTAGTCTTTTCTGTTTGTTCATTTGCTTTATTTATTTATTTAAAACTTTTTTTTATTAGTGAAACACCATGAGGTACAGTTACAGACTTATAAATTTTTGTGCTTGGGTTTCAGTTATACAATGATCAAATACCCATCCCTCCACCAGTGCCTATTTTCCCCCACCACGGGTACCAGTATCCCTCCCACCCCTATTCCCCCCCCCCCCCCATCCCACCCTGCCCCTGTGGCAGGGCATTCCCTTTTGTTCTCTCTCCTTTTGAGTACTGTGGTTTGCAAAAGAGGCATTGAGTGGCAATCATGTTTGGTCTATAGTCTAATTTCAGCATGCTTCTCCCATCCTGGGAGGATCCTCCCAACACCCTTTATTTGGTGCTCCCTTCTCTATCTGAGCTCCCTTTTCCCCTAGCACGTGTGGCTGGCCTCCAAGTCATGGAGCAAAATTCTTGGTACTAATCTTGGCCACTCTTGGGTGTTAGTCTCCTATTTTGTTACTTTATGTTCCCCAGATGAATGCAATCTTTCTGTGTCTATCCCGCTCTTTCTGTCTCATTTCGCTTAACATGATACTTTCCATGTAGTACCACTTGTATGTATCATTTGCTTTATTTAAACACCATGATTTATAAAGTTGTTCTTAATACAGTTGTTTTTGCATTCAATGTTCCAACAGAAATCCCATCACTGGTGTGACCTTTCCTCCACCATTGTCCCAATTTCCCCAACCACTCTCCAAGTCTGACCCTTTACTAGGCACAAAATCACTTATTTTAGATTCTTTGTTACAACTAGATGACTTAGAACTGTTAAAAATACTTCAGTAAAATAAAATTGGTGACAATTTTATATATCATTAAGTTGTATCAGAATCTATAAAGCTGTTCATTTCTAGTTGAATCTTCTGTTATTGATTTTGCTTATTGAACTTAGTTGAGTTATATGTTACTTTCCCATCAAACTTGGTGTGCTTCTACCAGGATGTCAGTATTATGGAACTGCTCTAGGAACTTTAGGATTTGTATAACCAGGCCAGTGACTGAATTTGCCTCGAATTCAGGAATGGAATTTGTAAGTGGCTGTGGAATTTGTATGTGGCTACTAGGGCTTCTGGAAGTATGGGAAGTTTCCGGCCTTCTCTGAGAAGACCCCAGATTTTCAGCCTGAGAACTGTTGTACCTAGAATTTTCGTGGGTTTGACGTCTCTGCAGATATTAGTCTTGAAGCAGTGGAGTTGGGCTGTTGACACGGTCGCAGCTGTGGAATGTGGTGTAACTGCCAGCGCTTCAGCAGGGCAGGGACTCAGTCTTTGCCATTTCCCGAGTTTTCAGGTGGAAGACTGGTGTACCTGTGAATTTTTTTGGCTTGGCTTGCATATCCTCAGAGATTTAGTCATGAATCTGGCAAGGAGTTTAGTTGTTAAGATAACTCTTGGCAATTATCAAGTTTACAAATGCTAGTAATGCAAAATTCATATTCTTCCTTCATACGTGCATGTGTCTCTCTGTGTGTATATATGATTATATATGTATGTTTTTACAATATAAAGCAGCTTCAGAATTATGACATTTATATTATTAAAATTTTTTTGCCACACCTGACAATACTCAGGGATTAATCCTGGTGGTTCTTTGGGGGGCCATATGGGATGCCGGAGATTGAACCTGGATCAGCTGAATACATGGAAAGCTCCCTACTCTCTGTACTGTCATTCCACCTCCTGTTTCTAGTATTTATAGGAGCTGTATGGCATCTTCTTCAGTTTGGCAAATACACACACACACACACACACGCACGAATGTTACACTTTGAAATGTGTTATAGTTTTAGTTCCTTTTTACCTTAAGTAACACTTTGGGTAAAACGAAGGTGACAGCCTTTCATGCATATGTATATAACAGGTGCCCAAGCTTTTTGGTTTTGCTCTTTTACACCCGCAGTACTCAGGGCTTATTTCCTACTCTGTGCTTAGGGACCACTTTTGGCATACCTTAGGGGACCATATGTAGTGCTGGGAATTGATCCCAGGTGGAGCATGTTCAAAGAACGTGCGTAACCATTGTACTATCTCTCTAGCCCAGAATTTGTAGCTGGATCCAGAATTTGGTGTTAGGTCTACTATACATACAATGTATGTATATCTTTTACTCCATTTCTTTGCTATGCCTTCATATCTACAGCTTTGTTCTCTAAGAGGCTCTTTCTTCTTGGTGGTTAAAGGGCTCCTGAGTATTGATCCTAGAGAAAGAGTGTTGTCTTTCCCATCAACTGTGGCAAGATTCAATTGGTGGGAAGAACCACGTATTCCAGGTGCTTATCAGAACTGCTCTGCGATAGGAATGAAAGCTCAGTCATAGGAATGTATCTTACAGTTATGAGAATAAATGTTTTATTAAAATAAATGTTAGTTACAGTTCTCAAAGAAT